AAAAGAAAACTTAAAAGATTAAAGAAGAAGGGCTCTTCAACAAATGCTCAAAAGCAAGAAATATCTCTTTTAACCGTTAAACTTCAAAATGAAGTTTCGAAGGATAAACAAAACTACCATAGTGTATTACTACCACGCTTTATCTCGACATCCCCAGAAAAATTCTGGAGATTGATTTCCCCTTCGTCTCGTTCTTCCACGGCTTTTGAAGTTGATGGTTCCATTACTCACGACAGCTCAAAGATCGCGAACGCATTCAATGCTCAATTTCAATCTGTTTTCACCAAAGATAACAATTTATTGCCAGATTTCAGTCTTTCTCTTCCGCCAGTACCAGACATTGTCATTAGCGAAACGGGAATACTGAACTTGCTGTTAAATATAGATATAAAAAAATCATGTGGTCCCGATGACATCCCTAACGAATTTTTAAAACGGTATGCGGAGTGGATGGCAAAGTACCTTCATGTATTGTTTTCGAAATCATTGCAGGAGGGCGAGGTTCCTCTAGATTGGAAAATAGCTAAGATTACACCGCTACACAAAAACGGGAGCAATTCTACGGTTAAAAATTACCGCCCCATATCGCTTATTTCGACAGCTTGCAAACTAATGGAACATGCAATACATAAACACATCTCAGTATTTCTCGAAGAACAAAACTTCTTCACCAAGGGACAACATGGTTTTCGCAAAGGCTTCTCTACACAAACTCAATTAGTAGAAACTATACACGATTTTGCGACATCTATTAATAATGGTAATCAAACTGACGCTATTTTTCTAGACTTTCGCAAAGCTTTCGATACGGTTTCTCATAATAAACTGCTTTATAAATTAAATTTGGTACTTCAAAACCCTAAGCTAATATCCTGGATTTCATCATACATAACTGGTCGTCTACAAATGGTTTCTTTTAATCAACATTGCTCGGGTAGAGTTTCTGTATCATCTGGTGTCCCGCAGGGTTCGGTACTCGGACCACTTTTTTTCCTCATTTTCATAAATGATATAGTTGACGGCATCCCTGTAAAAATTAAACTTTACGCCGATGACTGCATCCTGTACTGCGAAGTTAAAAACTCGAATGATCAGCTACTCCTAAATCAAGCTTTTGAGAAGGTTATGTCATGGTGTGAAAGTTGGCAGATGTGTCTTAATCTTGAAAAAACAGTAGCAATGAAAATTACTCGCAAAAAAACGCCCTTAACTTACTATTACGGCTACAAAAACAATTACCTCAGTGAGGTAACCGAGTACAAATACTTAGGCCTTTTAATAACAAGTGACCTTCGGTGGAATAAACACATCGACCAAGTCATAGCTCACACACAACGTAAACTATTTTTTCTCCGCAGAGCACTGAAACTATCCACCCCCACTGTACGTCTCCTTGCGTATAAATCCGTTATTCTGCCCGGGTTAGACTACGCTGCAATTATCTGGGACCCATATACCAAAACAAATATTGATAAACTGGAATCCATTCAGAAAAGAGCAGTACGATTTATATATAATCGCTATGACCGTACATCAGTAACAGATCTGTTAACCAGAGCTAAGCTTCAACCTCTATCCACTAGAAACCGTCATTCACGTTTGAAGTTTCTTTACCAAATATTAATGGGGCATGTTAAGGTCGATACATATTCTGTTATGCCACTCACCTCTAGATACAGCACAAGACTACGGCATGATAGAACACTAACACCACATCAAACGCGAAATAATGCATTTAAATATTCTTTTTTCCCCAGAACGGTGAATGATTGGAATTTATTAACAAATGAGCAAGTGTTACAGTCTTCATTGGCAAGTTTTACTTCTAGTCTGTGTTCATGAACCTGGATCTCATTTATATTTCGTATATATGCACACATGCGTACTTAGTAAGAGTGCACATTTATTCTTGAAGGTCTATGCATGTATTTGTGTTTCATTTCGTTATTGCTATATTATTTACCTACACTCGGTATTTTGTTCTTGTGTGCACGTAATTGTATTGAGGATTGCTATATATGTATTGGTATGCATGCGTACGTGTATTGTTCAGATGTGTAACCGCGTTTCATTTTTTTTGATAGGTCACTTTCTGTTTTATGTCATACGAATTATGTGACCTGGTTACGCCTACCACTTGTTCCACACATTTCGTAGTACCAGATCATGCATTGTTCATCTTCCCACCCTACCAAAGTCCCGACTAGGGATTGTAGTATTTATAAATAAAATAAATAAATAAAAATGTGTGTGTGTGTGTGCGTGTGTGTGTGTGTGTGTGTGTGTGTGTGTGTGTGTGTGTGTGTGTGTGTGTGTGTGTGTGTGCGTGTGTGTGTGTGTGTGTGTGTGTGTGTGTGTGTGTGTGTGTGTGTGTGTGTGTGTGTGTGTGTGTGTGTGTGTGTGTGTGTGTGTGTGTGTGTGTGTGTGTGTGTGTGTGTGTGAACTGTTCTGACAACAGTACGTATAGGACACGATGACAATGAACTGGTTTCTTGAATGAATATGCACTTGATATGGAAGCAGGCGAACAATTAGAAACGAAAAATAAAAATATATATCGCACAAATACGGTCGAGGGACACGAATGGCCGGCATAACTCTGAATCTGGATAACGGTTTACAATATTTGACAAAAGCAGACTTCTGCGATACTCACGAACCAGCTAGCTGATCTAAAGAGCCCTTGTGCATACTTATTCAACTCAACCGATATTCAAAACATTCCCTCTCAACACTATAGTGTCGCAATCAGTCGAAAGAAAAAGGAGATCGCTCACCCTTTTTCTGCCGTTGTCTTAATGCAAAAGCTGAGCCAATTGCAGTAATTCAATTCACCGATGGCTTTTGTATTCTCAGGCTCAGGTAGGCATGGAATGTGAACTCCAGCAAAGTCAGGTGTATCGGATCATCGACCTTTCTTAGGATAACAAGCTAAAGGCAAGAAGCAGGTAAGATAGAGCTGTTCGGATGACGTCTCATTTAAGATTCAAGAGTCATCGTGTAAGACTCCGAAGCTCTCCATGCGGACATAAAGCTTATCACGTCTCTCTGCGAATAAAGGCATTAACTGTGCTGCTCGTGTATCTGAGGACATTTCCATCGCCATGAGAGTTCAGTGAACCTGCATCGTCGATACAGTGACTATTTCCACGTTTTCAGATGGTTGAACGCTTTATGTGCTGCGCCCCGACATGCGCAAACAGGAAGGTTCACCTTTGAACTGTTTACATCAACTGAACGAAAGCGAATTTCACTGTCGAAAAGGCGTAAGGACATAGGCACTGCACTTCCCAGTTCTGAATGGCAATTGCGACTGCGCTTTTGAGTTTTCTCAAGCACACCGGTCTGACTCGTTTTATGTGATACCAAGCAAGAAGCTGTCACGCATCGCCTCAATCATTCACTTTTCTCCCCTCCACTAATACTTCCCTCCCCCCTTCACCTTCCCCAGTGCAGCGTAGCCTACCAGCCTCAATCCTGGTTAACCTCCCTGCGTTTCATCTTATTCTCTCTCGCTCTGCTAACGTTTCAACACAGTGTTCGATCTCAGCTTGCTGCAGAGCACTCGGACAACTGGGTGGCACTCAGACACCTACGAAAGTCACCTCTTCGTAGCTAATCGAAAAACAAAAACTGAATAAGAAGAGGCACATAATAATTCCTAAAGAAGAAGCGCTCTACTGTTTGAATGGAGACGAGGTTACCTTAAGAAACGTAGTTTTAAAGCGAGAATCTGTAATGAAGAAGAGCAGTGCGCATGATGTACGGTAGATAAGAGAACGACGGACCATGCTCTGATTTAATGTGGATATATAAACCCTAGTGTTCGCTCGAGCACGAGGCTACATGAAGTCTTGGGGTTTAGGCACAGCAACGGCATGCTAACATACGTGCTATGGAAACAAGTAATAGGATGTAGGAGTATTGGTGGAAGAAAGCTTGAGACAAACGAAAAAAATAAATAGCGTGAAAATTTAGGCTCCAACCCGTTCGCGAGTGGAGAGGACTAACCCACTTCACGCATGAGCCGCAATATATATATATATATATATATATATATATATATATATATATATATAAATAAAGAGCCTACAATGAAAATCATCACAGGGGCAATGTTGGTAAAATTTCACTATGGTGTAGCATAGCCTCGTAACAATTTCATTCTCCCGTAAGAACATAACTCAGTGATTTCTGTTGTGATGTAAAACTACGCCTTACTTGTTGGTTTCCTCAGCGTGCAGCCAAGAGTGACCACTGTCGAATGTGGGAGGCTCAGTCCCCCCCCCCCCCCTCATCTGATATGCCATGCTCGCATCCCTAATTAAGACAGCGCCGATTAAAAAACTACAAGCAGACACACGCACTCATCAGTGTTTTATTTTGCGATATGTTTAAGGGACACTGCCAAGAATAGATAAATATTTTAGACTTGTCACCGCATGACATATTACTTTTAAGCTTCCTACAGAAATATCTGAAGACGACACCATGGATTTCAAAGAATTTCTTCATACTCTGGCCATAACGGCTGAAATAACGTTCCTGAAAGCTTGATGCGTTACGTCTCTAGCTGCCTCAGAAGGCAATATGCAGCATTTTTATGAATAGGAACTGCGCTGGCTGTAGTAGCCGCCACCAAAATTTACGGAGTCACGGTGGCTGGTGTGGAAACTTAAAGGTGCATCACCACCTTCAGTTTTTCTGGGCAAGTTCCTTCACTTAGGTAGCTTTTCGCAGAGGAAGCGTAGTGTTTTGGGCGTCGTTAGAGAATGATTTCAAACTACTGAAGAAGAAATCGTTTTTTTTTTTTGTAGTGTCGCTTGCCGACTATCTCACATGCAGACCATAGTACGTTATATCGCAGTCCGCCATAGTTGGACTTGAAATCATGATTTACCAAGAAATCACTTCCTTTCTCTATAAGCAGATGTTTAAATGTTTTTCTCAATGCTTCCAATCTCAAAGAATTAGTAGGAGAGCTCCGCTAGTGTACTCACCTCTCCAGGCAGGTGGCGACAAGCGTCAACACAGACGCAAAGACGACGACCGTCTGGGAATAAAGCAGTGCCGTGCAGAGCCAGTCTGTCATCAGGGACCACGATGCCGGACCGGCTAGTTCCATCAGCTTGACCGGCAGAACGAACGCACCGACGGCCAAGTCGCAGGCCGCGAGGTTGACCATGTAGTAGTTGACGGCCGTGTGCATCTTGCGGTCCGAAAGCACAGTGTAGCACACCATCGAGTTGCCGACTAGCGCTAGCACCATCACTACAATGTACAACAAAACGAAAGCACTGCACACTCCCGGCAGCTGCGTGAGGTCCGGGTAAGGGACGCCCGGATAGACCAACAAGGGGTCCTGGTGGTCCGAGTCGCCCACGGTCGCGTTCCAGGGGTTCCTGGGGAAAGCGGACGGTGACGAAGACATAGACGACGACGCAGCCGCGTCACCCATCACGGCATCTAGACGTGACGAAGTGTTCCACACGTTTACGAAGTCACCGATGCCAGTCGCGACAGGAGTGATTGGGTCAAATAGCACCACCAGAACGGCCAAAATACAGCACGCCTTTGAAACAGCCGGTAGTAGTCTACTTTGCACCAGCTTGCGGCGTAGTCACGGAACTCTTGCGATTTGTGCAGTACCGCGAAAAATCGCGCGGAGATATCAGAATCAAGAAAGGTACGTACATGGTGGGAGGAGGCCACTGAGACACGCTAAATTTGGAGACGAGGCGTTGTTGAAGAGTCGACTTGGTTGTTGCGCGTCAGTAGGTGTCACGGGACACAAGCTCGCGAGGTTGCCTCGCGCAAGTTCATGAAGCCAAACCACCAATAAAAATCGTTTCAGGAGAACCGTTCACGCTTCAGGGACGCCTCTCACAATATGAAACAGCTGGAAATAGCCCACAACCTAGTCATGACTCTGAAGCCGGTCAAGTTCACTAATGTGGGCTCAGCAAGTGGAATAAAAAAATTAGACTACAGCAGATTGGTAGAAAAAGAGGTAGGAGTAATGAAAAAAGCAGTCTTCTTTGCGTTCTCAGTAAAAAGGTAACAATTTATGATTAATGTGAGAAAACTCACGTTTCAGATGAAGGCGGCGTATTCCACAATGCGTTCGAGTCAGCACAATTGTATAGCGCAGTCACGTAAGGAAGAAGCACAGTCGCGCACAACTCGAACAATTGGTGAGAGTGACTCGGGAAGTACTGAAGGCAAACCGAAGCACGCACTGGCTATGAAAAAAAGGAACAAATTTTTGCGCGTTCACGAGCACACGTTCGTATCGCAATCAAACGCGATCGCAGCTACTGGGACACAAGTATCCAGAAGCCGTTTTCAAACAGATGTCAGTAAAGACACTCTATCACAACAATAAGCCAAAGTGGAGATCAGAGATTTGGCCAATGACCGACTAGCGCCAGCAAGGTTTTTGCACGGTGCAAAATATCAGCTGATGCGAGCGCGACTGACAGCGCATCCCTAAGGAGGCATGGGGAGACGAGGAAGAGCAGACTCCCGCGCCGGTGCGTTTCCCGGAGCAAACTGGTATCTTCCCGCGGGCACGCGGGCAGCTCTAGCGACGCCTTCCTCCTTTCCCACCTCATTCTCTCCCTCTCTTTCCCTAGGAGTTCGCCCGGCGGAGAGGAGGCGAAAAAGTTCGTCGCACGGCAAATGGGCGACTTTCCTTAATCCTTCCCTCGCCATCCTTTTTTCCCTTCGATCTCTGACAGAAATGGGGAAGGCCGTTTGCCCCTTTCCCGCAAGTACTCGCCCTCTTGTTGCTCTGTCACCTGTTGGAAATAGAGGCGTGCGAGGCAAAAGGCAAAGCGTTCTCACTTTGCTTCTTTCTGAGCCTCCCATGCTATTCATTGATGATCGCTCGGCATAATGGAGCACATCTTGGTGGAGGTCAGTGGCCTAAGTCATGTGGGGGTGCGGGAGTAGGCAGGCGTGGTCCTGTTTGTTTTCCGGCTGGAGGGGGGGTGCAGGGGGGGGGCATCTGGTAAGGGCCCTATCCATCTGAAGTTGAGATTTATCTTTACAACATCATGCTGGTAGATCGCGAATTTTGATATCGTATTAGGTAATTTGTCCCACTGTACAGAATATTTCTTATTTATCTTTTTTCAAGACTTTTTACTTTGTAGCGGCAACAGTGTTCATTATTCGAAGTACCATGAAACTGTATCAAAACTCCAACTGTCATTCAATCTGTTCCCGTCAAGACTCAAAAGTTCCATGCAAACATGTGAGGCATGCCCAAATGCTGGTTTGTTTTTCTTGAACTTGATTAAAATTTTTGTGTCATAAAAGATAAAACATTTATTTAGAAAAACAAAAAGGCCACCGCAGCAAGAGGTCTGTCTGCTCTTGTGATGTTTCTGGACTACGCTACTGGTTTGTATAACGGGCGTGAACGATCAAATAGAGGGTTTGGATGCAGACGGTGGAATATCTTTCTCTAATTGACTTCCTCCACATACTTTCGCGCTTCCCGTATTTAAACGTTCGATGTTACCGTACATAACAAAGCAATATCTGAATGCCACACTAGCCCCGCCACGGTGGTCTAGTGGTTAAGGTACTCGGCTGCTGACCCGCAGGTCGCGGGTTCAATTCCCGGCTGTGGCGGCTGCATTTTCGATGTAGGCGGAAATGTTGTAGGCCCGTGTATTCAGATTTGGGTGCACGTTAAAGAACTCCAGGTGGTCTAAATTTCCGGAGCCCTCCACTACGGCGTCTCTCATAATCATATGGTGGTTTTGGGACGTTAAACCCCACAAATCAATCAATCAATCAACCGAATGCCACACAAGGGACAAAGTCTAAGCAAACATGCCGCACGCATAACTAAGCACACATAAACTCCCATTGTGTAGAAATGGAAGAAGCGTAAGCTTCTATTTTTTACGCAAAGTTTATTGCTTCGCAATCTTCGTGTTATTTCGAGAACTTGGAATCGTCTAGATAAACACAACTGATATAAATGACTCAGCAGCGTTCTTTTGTCTATCTTGTATGTCCTCATTAAGGCCGAGTCTTAAAGCAACAAGGCGGCGAAATAATGCGATTATCAAGATAAATAAAGCAAAAGGCACTTAGGGTAAGTAACACCGAGTTGCTAAACGCATAACGAGTATGTACCGGGAAAATGAAAGGGCGAAGGAAAAACGCTATTCATTGATCGGCTTAGAGCAAGAAAGTGATCCGTGTCTTTCAGGTAAAACGGGTGCACTGGCACGTCTGAATATGCAGGCACTTCCATCGTTTGTTCGCATGAGCGTCTAACGCCACCGAAACAGCGTCAATGCTTAGTGGGGAGAGGTCAATACACTAAGTCCGTCCGCAATTGTCCACAGAGATGCCGATCAATCATTCCTACGCTTTCGCGAATGACATCAATGGCTCATTCATTCGCGCATCGAATATTAAAGGTAATCTCAAGGCATATAGAATCTTGCTGCTTCAGGAGGGTTTGTGTACTACGGAACAGTGAGGTAGGCCGTGCCATCTACGAGCGAGACGTCGAGACTACACGCACCACAGGCTCTCGAGCTTATCGCAGCTCTGAGATGGCTTCTCCACATGCCATCTACCGTCTCGCTTAATTCCGTGCAGTGAGGCGAGTTCTACAGCCGCATCTTTGTGTATGAGGTATCTCTACTTTGCGCCGAATTGGCTACTCTTCAACCTGTTTGGCAACAAAAATTTCAGTTTGGTGCCATGGCTTTTTACTGGCTACTTAAAAAAATCTGGTTTTATTAATCCAAATGATTGTTTAATTCATGAATAGTATTTACATTGTTCATATTACTATTCCCGTTTTTCTAGTTGTAAATTTAGGGATAATATAAATGTCATGGCTCCATTGGTTAGATTTGGCTTGAGTTTTGCCGCATTTTTAATTACGCCTAATTGCGACCCTGAAGAGAACGAAAGTTTCAGATACATACAAAAAAAATATATTCCACAAGAACGCTTTCAATTTTTCCGCAATGTTTAAGTATTTTAACGAATCAATATAGCGCCTGATACTATATATAAAAGTACTTATTTTGTGGGATCATCTGCCCGTAAACTAAGAATCTGAATTGTCGGCAATATTGCCCTTCGCTCGCTATTCCAAGTACTTCCCGGTCTCTTCTTTTCCCGCCGATCCAGTGTCGTGCTGGTACCGTGGCGCAGCATGGCGGCGAGTGCACGACGGCGTTCATGGCGCGCTTTCCTGGCCACTTGTGTGGTGGCTTAGAAAAACGCAGTATGCTGGACGTGTAGTATGCGAATGTCTAACTGGGGCAATATTATAAGGTGCTGTCAACAAGGAACAATAAGCGAGTTACTGTTCGTTTAAACAAGAAAAAAATTACAGGAATCCTTAGGCACTCCTCTAACACCACTCGAATGTGGAAGCCATCTTTTTATTTCTGTTCTCACTCGCTGTATTTTTCCGCACCTTTCGACAGCTTTCTGCACTCGACCTGTTTCTCGCATTGGCTCGGTGATCGGCTCGGATTGGCCAAGTGACGATGTCGTGTGATGACGTCATCATATGACGAATATTTAATGATGTCGTCATGGTGGTAATACAAAACTTATGTGATCTGTGATTTCATGTTGATGTGACATGGTTACCTCATCACATGTTGATGATTTTGGCGTACCGCTCACGTTGATGCAGACATCAAGTTTTTCCACTTGAATAGACAACTAAGAATTGGGCCATAGTAATGAAGGTTTTGCTTCACGGATCGCTCGTGGGACTTCGCGAATTTCTTTGGTAGCGCTGCACGCTATTGATAATCAAAGCGCTTGTTGCACCCAGCGGGGCTTTTGTGGAGCTTGAAGCTCTGCGCTCAAAATAAGGGGAAGGATGATTGATGTGTTCGGCCAGTCGCGTGCTAAGCGCTTTGTCTCATGCATAAAATAATTTTCACCTTGCCCTGTTCTTTTTTTTTTCTCTTTCTTGCCTGCTATATGTTTACGGTGTGGACCGATAATTTGCTTTTTCTCACCTCACAATAAGGAATGAATGTTTTTTTTTTTTTGTACACGTGCCTAAAGATAATTCACTGCAAACAGGCGAGACTGCTATCTCAAAGGTCGCCTCTCATTTGCTGTATTAGTGTGGCCGTGAGGACAAACTCCAAGTCACATTAAATGAAGTAATTTAGAGTTTGTCTCCACCATTGTTGATTCCATCGCTGAATGCTTATTACTAGAATATAATGACAAGCCGTATTTTCATTTAAAAAGAAAGTGTTTTATGCCCGGGACCACCAAGATTTCAATGACGTATGTTCGTCACGAAAATGACGTCAAAAATATGCACGATCACAAGACAATGAAAAGAGGCTCTGTCAACGAGAACAGAACGCTTGACCTTTGGGTCTGCAACAACTCGTGCCGGGCATGCTATGCACTGCACCATGGTCACGTACTTCAGCGGCT